AAGAAATGTGGAACCGTTTTTCGAAATGAAGGAAGTCTTGTACAGTTGGAGAAAGTTTCGGTTCGTCTTGTTGGAGCTTGCCTTCGTTTGGGACCAGCAAGAATGGAGCTGTTATGTTCATTTTTGACGGAGATACGTATGCGGATGGAAGGGAAAGGTGAGAAACCATATGATCCGTCCGGGTCCCCTTCTTGAAAATGTGATATTCGTATTCTACGACCTCGAATTAGTCTAGATAGAAGGTAATCTTTATTGTTTTCACCTTCCAGAAGACCTATTTCTTGCATTATTCCTCTTTGTACTTTGCCGTGCAGCGCCGCCATAGTCACAGTATGGAAAGCAGCGAGAAGTATCCTGCGCTAAATGATGCTGATGTACAAATTGAATTGCTCTTGGCTGTTTCGGTCCATGCCTCGATTCTTGTCTCCAATGCTGTTATGCTCGATCTGGTTGAGCTCCGCAAGAATAGCTGAAAGAGTGCCGAACTGGGAGATATGCTGTATACTCTTGTTGCTATTTGCTGTATCTCTGCTGATGATGATGTGCGCGCGTGCTACGATTACCCCAGCCAATACAATGTCCTGTACATGTACATGTTGAGCTTAGTCAGTGCCTCTTCCGTGATCATTCTTTTTCTTGACACCAACCACACCAACAGTCCGAAGCTATCTCAGGACTGTATTATCAATGTCTCCTGTTACTACCCACTACATTGTAAACCATACTATTCCGCTATTTCATGCGGAGAATCAAGATTGTTTTTGGATCTGGTGTGCGGTTGCTATGCGTTGCCAAGGAAAGTGGGTTCTCTCAGTTTGACATATCTCTCTAATCTCAAATGTGTGGGACGTTTGTCGGACAAATCCGGTGATAGGCGATGACTATTTTGCTTGTAACTTTAGTTTCCTTTGTCCGATTTAGAAAAACTAAAGACCAAACTTCTCAGGAAGCTCTAACCTATCCAAAAAGCAAAACATAAGCCACAGAAAACCGATTTGAAAAAATGGTCTGAAGTCCCTAACTATAGCTAGGCATTTCCCAAATCGGCCCGATTTTTTCGCCTGATCGGCTTTTCGATCGGCTAAGAGAATGTCCAAATTCGGCCATATTATGAGCCCCAAAGTCAGTACAGATTTACATTTACTTGCTCGCTGAAAAGGCACTAAACATCCTTTTTCGGCGAATTCAGCGCGAGATTTGTCGTTTCGGTGCAATTATCGGCGATTTCTTGACAGCCATTGATTTCGGCGTCCTTTCCTGCTGACCGTTTTCGGAAATGCCTAAAGTCGCAGCCACCTTTCGCAGATATTTTGGCTACAGAAGTTGTATTTGCATTCTGTTGAGGCATCAAAACATCGATTTTCGGCGAATTCAGCGCGAAAATTGCTTATTCGGCGAAAAGATCGGTGATTTCTTCAAAACCACTGTTTTCGGCGAATTTGTCTGCCGACCGATTTGGGAAATGCCTACCTATAGTGGTTAGTTGCCGCTAACTTGCGGGTGAGTATGGGCCATGCACACGCTGCATTAGCAACATACCAATAATGACTTGGTAAAATTTGTTTGGGCAATACAATAACCAAATTAATCGAAATATTAATTCAATTACACTCAATCAATAATTACACTTCATCATTATTAATTTATAGCTCCTGCGGCGCTTACCTCTGTTTTGCTCCCCTGATACCGGTAAACGGATCCCAAGAAGTCCTCTGTAACTCCGTAACCGTGCCAGCTTTGACTTCAGCTTACTTTTGAGCCTTCCACACTCAGTGCACAATGAAAATGGATCGATCACCGGAAACCAAAGGAAAACTGAAAACTGACGCAAGACAAAGGAAACGAGCGCTAGCCCAACTGCTGCTGCTGCTGCTGCCTCGGGAAAGCAATATTTATTATTGTTCCAGGGCCGGATGCTTTTTTGAGTGTTCTGAGCTGATCAGCTGAGTGCTGGATTTAGCGCTCGTGGCTCGTTGAAAAGATTTAATATCAAGCTGTTGTTGCAATCGTTACAAGAGGACTTTGCTTCGAGAGCTGACGGTTTGCGGATCACGTTTTTATACTGCGATAGTCATCGCACACGATGTGCAGGCGCTAGGCGCTAGATCAACGCCACAACCTCTGACGAAGTGACGGGTCCTGATGGAATGGTAGAAGCGGAGCTTCAACACGACAAAATAGTCCAAGTCAACAGCAGTACAAGTACTTGAAGTAGCACCGGATTCCACACGCGCATGGTTGATCCGTCACCCGTGCAGGGCCCGTCATAATTATCATACCCATCATCACCAGCGTCAGGACAGAATAATGATAAGACTAATACTTTTAAATAATAATAATTCTCTTCACGCCAGTTAAAAATGTCAGTTTAGAGTTAGAGAATAGAGTCAGAGTTATGATTGTAGTCTTTAGTTCAGTTCAATAATAATAAACAACAGTGTGTTCACTGAGCTCCCGTGTGCATTTGCCTCCGAGAGACTGCGGCCCGCTACAACAGTAC